AAGAATACTGAAGTGGGTTGCTATTTCCTACTCCAGGGTATCTTTCTGACCCAGGGATCAAACCCACATCTCTTGCATCTCCTGCATTAGCAGCCAGGTTCTTTACCATTAGTGCCGGATGAGAAGCCCAAACAAATCTAAGTGTACATTATATTGGAATAATTATAAAATGAGCTCCCAAGAGTATGGCAGCCACACCACGGAGAGTCCACCCACTACCAACCACCACCATCCACGAGGCTATGAGAGCCCTTCTAGTGACACATAGTATTTTTTCTATTGCATGAAGGGACCATGTTTCATATAACATGTCCTACATTCGTGGACATTCTGGGTGTTTCCAGTTTTCTACTGGGTTGACTATCCTTGTATATGCTTCCCCAAACCCATCTTTGTATAATGCTACAGAGCAAAACCTCTGGGCCAACAGGTATATACATATGTACGTACATGTGTGTGCTCAGTCACTCAGTCGTGTCCAACTCTTTGTGACCCCATGGACTGTAGCCCATCACGCTCCACTGTCCATGGAATTTCCTAGGCAAGAATACTGGAGTGGGTTGCCATTCCCTACTCCAGGGAATCTTCCCAGGGACCAAACTCATGTCTCTTGCATCTCCTGTATTGTCAGGTGAGTTCTTTACTACTGCACCACCTGGGAAGCCATATATACATATATAATTTTTTTAAAGGACTTTTCAGTGCTGTAAGCCACCTTTCAACAGGCAGTGTGAGGGTTGGATCCCACCAGTTGTGTGTGGGCACATCCTTGCCCCTGGGACTGTCTGCCCATCTGATAGGCGCACACTGGCTCCTCATTGTTTTCTCAATGCATTTGTAGTCTTTGTTTGCTGACGAGGCCGAATGATGTCATTTATTTTATGTGTTTATACTCAGCCTCCCAGGATTAGAAGTGAGAGGTCCTATTATTAAGACATGTCATCTCAAGAGTTTGTCTGTCCCACCTCTGTGTTCATCTTTAAGAAATAAAAATCCCATCTCACCGCCCTCTCTCTTACCCCATGTCCAGAGCCCTCTTTCAGCTCCCAAGCTTGAAGCCAAACTCTATATGATGACTTTAGGCAAGGTCCTTGGCTCTGCTAACGAGGAGCTGTGGGAACCAGACTGGTACCCCATCTCTGAGCCTCATGCTCCTCGACAGACAAGCGCTTAGCAGATGAGAGAGTAATCTAAGTGGAAAAGAATTTGAACTTGTTTTTTCAGAGACTACCTATTGAACACCTATTATATGCCAGGTACTGGCACCCCACTCCAGTACTCTTGCCTGGAAAATCCCATGGATGGAGGAGCCTGGTAGGCTGCAGTCCATGAGGTCGCTAAGAGTCGGACATGACTGAGCGACTTCCCTTTCACTTTTCGCTTGCATGCATTGGAGAAGGAAATGGCAACCCACTCCATTGTTCTTGCCTGGAGAATCCCAGGGGATGGAGGAGCCTGGTGGGCTTCTGTCTGTGGGGTCGCGCAGAGTCAGGCACGACTGAAGTGACTTAGCAGCAGCAGCAGCAGCAGGCTACAAGGACATATTGTACACATGAGGAGTATAATCAGTGTTATTTTAATTCTGCATAGAGTGTAACCTTTAAAATATGCATAAAATATATATAAATACATTTAAAGTTTATCTCTTTTCCTAAATATTGGCCTCTAAGCTCTCCTTCCCCCTTTTTTAATTAAATGAAAAGAATTGTGGAGAAATTTAGAAATGTTTAAATAATAAAAATAGTTTATAGTGATTTTTTTTCTATTGTGATGATATTGTGTTATTTTTTTATTGTGATGACAGGGATCATCTGAGTCATGAATTGTTCTTCCTTAGTCATATTTCTATGTGCTTCAAATTAAAAAAAAAAAACTTTTTTTATTGAGGTGCACTTGATTTACAATGTGTTTTTTTAAAATTGAAGTCAGCATTTAAAAATAGTATTAATGAAATAACTTCAAAATGGTGGTAGGCTTCTGTTTTCATGAATCTTGATGAAATATTTTCTGGTTTTTGTCATAAAGATAATAAAGAGGCTTGCCTTTATGGTTCCTACTTCACCTCTGGTTCTGGTACCTGTCTTATTATATTGATCTTAAGATTTTAGATGTATTGACAGGGATTCACTTAGTCCGTGATAGAAGCTGTGATGAAATGCAGGGAAGGTCTTGTAAGCTGAAGTCTAGCACCGCCAACAGAATAGCGCTAGCAACATCAGTGGAAGGAACATTTAAGAGCCAATTTAGAGTGTTTGCTGGGCCAGTGGAGACATTATATGTTTTATACATTATCTAATCTTAGTATATGTTAACTACATGATAAAACTTTATGCAGTTTTTTTTCTTTCATGTTTTAGAAGAAAGTTTTTTTTTCCCCCTACTTTTCAGAAAAAACAAGGAGAGAAATGACAGCCAAAGGTTCTACAGGAATGGAGGTTCTGCTGTCAACATTAGAGGTTGGTCACTGATATGCTTTAATTATGTAGCTGTTTATACCAACTAGTACTGAGGGGAAAAAAATTGAAGTACAGAATTTTTATCCTAGTGGAAGAGCCAGTGAATGGGAGTTTGTTTTATTTTTTAGATTATTCACAATGGGGATATAAGCATTCTGATATATATTAGGTAAATTTCTAACTTTATTTCCCTATGGTTATAATGATAACCATATTTTAAAACCTATTTTAAACCTTAACATTAAAAATAAAACACTAATTGGAAATGAACCTTTAGCTTAAATGATTGAAATTGGAAATTCTCACTTATTGTGTTAGTTGCTATATATTCATGATTAAGTGTACTTCATACATTGGTTGCATAACTGTTGATATTAATTACATTTCTGTGCTAGTATAAAAGTTTGTGGTGGATCAGCAGGACATGCTCAGAATCACGATTTTATATTTTATTCAGTGAAATGGTAAGAATAAGGATTAAGTACATTGTATACCTTAGAGTTAAACAATGTTATGTGTCAAATTATATCTCATTAGAACCGGGGAGGAGAGATCAGGGAGTGAGTTCATGTGGTGGTGTTGTTCAGTCGCTCAGTTGTGTCCGACTCTTTGTGACCCCATGGACTGCAGCTCACCAGGCTTCCCTGTCCCTCACTATCTCCCAGAGCTTGCTCAAACTCATGTCCATCGAGTCGATGATGGCATCCAACCATCTCATCCTCTGTCGCCCCTTCTCCTTCTGACCTGTCTTTCCCAGCATCAATCTCTTTTCCAGCGAGTTGGCTGTTCACATCAGGTGGCCAGAGTGTGTGTGTGTTGTGTCTGTGTTTTGAATGCACCACACCATATGGCCTACAGGGTCTTATTTCCCTAACTGGGGACTGAACCTGTGCCCGTGGCAGTGAAAGCACAGAGTCCTAACCACTGGACCACCAGGGAATTCCTGTTTTTTGTTTTAGTTAAAGTGTAATTAATTTACAATATTATTTTTTTTATAGTTTCAGATGTACAGCATAGTGATTCAATATTTTTGCAGTTTATACTCCATTAAAATTATTATCAGATAATGGCTGTAAATTCCCTGTGCTGTACAATATATTCTTGTTGCCTGTATTTTTTACATAATAGTTTGTAAGTCTTAATTCTATACCCCTAACATGCCTGTTTCCCCATTGGTAACCACTAGTTTCTTTTCTGTATCTGTGAGACTGTTTCAATTTTGCTTTATCCATTTGTTTGTATTATTTTTTAGAGTCCACATATAAGTGATGGCATGCAATATTTGTCTTTCTCTCTGATTTATTTCACTAAGCATAAAATTCTCTAGGTTCATCCACATTACTGCAAATGATAGAATTTCATTAATTTTTTTTTTACGGCTGAGTAATATTGTTTGGCTGTTGGTGGATACTTAGGTTGCTTCCATACCTTGGCTATTATAAATAGTACTGCTATGAACATTGGGGTGCATATATCTCTTCAAATAAATGTTTTTGTTGCCTTTATTTTTTTGGCTATATACTCAGAAGTCAATTGCTGGATCATACAGTTGTTCTATTTTTAGTTTTGAGGAACATTCGTACTGTTGTCCACAGTGGCTGTACCAATATACATTGCTACCAGCAGTGTACAAAGGTTTTTTCTTCCACATCCTTTGCAACATTTGTTTTTTGTGTTCTTTTGATGATAGCCTTCCTGACAGGTGTGAGGTGAAACCTCATTGTTTTGATTTGCATTTCTATAATAATTGTCCTTGCATGTGTGTGTGTGCTAAATCACTTAAGTCGTGTCTGAGTCTTTGCAACCCCATTGACTGTACCTGGCCAGGTAACTTTGTCCATGGGATTCTCCACACAAGAATACTGGAGTGGGTTGCCGTTTTCTCCTCTAGGGGATCTTCCCAACCCAGGGATTGAAGCTCTGTCTCTTGTGTCTGCTGCATTGGCAGTGGTTCTTTACCACTGGTGCCACCTGGGAAACCATAATGATTATCCTTATATCTCCCATTTGTAATTCACTACCTCCCATCTCTGTTGACCTCAATAAATGGAGACATGAACAAACAGAAAAAAGCATGGGTAACAATACATTTATCAGACCAAAAAACCCTTTTTAAAAAAAGGGTAAAAGAAAAAAAAGGACATTATATAATAATAATAGGATTGATACAAAAAGAGGATGTTAAATTCATTAACATATATGCATTCAGTATATAGCATCTAAAAATATAAAGCAAATATTAACAGACATGAAAGGAGAAGTAGACAATAATGCTTAACAGTAGAGGACTTTATCACCTCATTGACTAGACCCTTCAGGTATGACCTAAATTAAATCCCTTACAATTATACAGCGGAACTGAGACTTAGAAAGGGATTAGATCTGATAGACAGAGAGCCTGATGAACTATGGACGGCAGTTCGTGACATTGTGCAGGAGACAGGGAACAAGACCATCCCCAAGAAAAAGAAATGCATAAAAGCAAAGTGGCTGTCTGAGGAGGCTGTACAAATAGTTGAGAAAAGAAGAGAAGTGAAGAGCACAGGAGAAAAGGAAAGATATACCCGTTAAAATGCAGAATTCTAAAGAATAGCAGGGAGAGATAAGAAAGCCTTCCTCAGCGATCATCACAAAGAAATAGAGGAAAACAACAGAATGGGAAAAACTAGAGATCTCTTCAAGAAAATTAGAGATGCCAAGGGAACATTTCATGCAACGATGGGCTCAATAAAGGGCAAAAATGGTATGGACCTAACAGAAGCAGAAGACATTAAGAAGAGGTGGCAAGAATACACAGAAGAACTATACAAAAAAGATCTTCATGACCCAGATAATCATGATGGTGTGATCACTCACCTAGGAATGCAAAGTCAAGTGGGCTTTAGGAAGCATCATTACAAACAAAGCTAGTGGAGGTGATGGAATTCCAGTTGGGCTGTTTCAAATCCTAAAAGATGATGCAGTAAAAGTGCTGCACTCAATATGCCAGCAAATTTGGAAAACTCAGCAATGGCCACAGGACTGGAAAGGGTCAGTTTTCATTCTAATCACAAAGAAAGCCAATCCCAAAGAATGCTCAAACTACTGTGCAGTTTCACTCCTCTCACATGCTAGTAAATTAACGCTCAAAATTCTCCAAGCGAGGCCTCAATATTACATGAACTTTGAACTTCCAGATATTCAAGTTGGTTTTAGAAAAGGCAGAGGAACCAGAGATCAGATTGCCAACATGTGTTGGATTATTGAAACAGCAAGAGTTCCAGAAAAACATCTACTTGATTGGATATGTCAAAGCATTGGACTGTGTGGATCACCACAAACTGTGGAAAATTCTGAAAGAGATGGGGATACCAGACCATCTTGAGACCTCTTGAGAAATCTGTATACAGGTCAGGAAGCAACAGTTAGAACTGGACATGAAACAACAGACTGGTTCCAAAATGAGAAAGGAGTACATCAAGGCTGTGTATTTTCACCTTGCTTACTTAACTTATATGCAGAGTACATCATGAGAAATGCTGGGCTGGATAAGCACAAACTGAAATCAAGATTGCTGGGAGAAATATAAATAATCTCAGATATGCAGATGACACCACCCTTGTGGCAGAAGGTGAAGAACTAAAGAGCCTCTAGGTGAAAGTGAAAGAGGAGAGTGAAAAAGTTGGCCTAAAACTCAACATTCAGAAAACTAAGATCGTGACACCCAGTCCCATCACTTCATGGCAAATATATGGGGAGACAGTGGAAACAGTGACAGACTTTATTTTGGGGGGCTCCAAAATCACTGTAGATGGTGATTGCAGCCATGAAATTAAAAGATGCTTACTCCTTGGAAGGAAAGTTATGACCAGTGTAGACAGCATATTAAAAAGCAGAGATTTTACTTAGCCAACAAAGGGCCATCTATTCAGTTCAGTTCAGTCGCTGATCGTGTCCGACTCTTTGTGACCCCATGACCCGCAGCACGCCAGGTCTCCCTATCCATCACCAACTCCTGGAGTCCACCCAAACCCATGTCCATTGAGTCAGTGATGCCATCCAACCATCTCATCCTCTGTTGACCCCTTCTCCTCCCACCTTCAATCTTTCCCAACACCAGGGTCTTTTCAAATGAGTCAGCTCTTTGCATCAGGTGGCCAAAGTATTGGAGTTTCAGCTTCAACATTAGTCCTTCCAGTGAACACTCAGGACTGATCTCCTTTAGGATGGACTGGTTGGATCTCCTTGCAATCCAAGGGATTCTCAAGAGTCTTCTCCAACACCACAGTTCAAAAGCTTCGATTCTTCTATGCTCAGCTTTCTTTATAGTTCAACTCTCACATCCATATCTAACTGCTGGAAAACCATAGCCTTGACTAGACGGACCTTTGCCGACAAAGTATTGTTTCTGCTTTTTAATATGCTGTCTCAGTTCAGTAGAGTCACTCAGTCGTGTCTGACTCTTTGCAACCCCATTTATTGCAGCACGCCAGGCCTCCCTGTCCATCACCAACTCCCTGAGTTTACTCAGACTCATGTCCATTGAGTCGGTGATGCCATCCAGCCATCTCATCCTCTGTTGTCTGTCCCCTTCTCCTTCTGCCCTCAGTCTTTTCCAGCATCACGGTCTTTTCCAATGAGTCAACTCTTTGCATGAGGAGGCCAAAGTATTAGAGTTTCAGCTTCAGCATCAGTCCTTCCAATGAACACCCAGGACTGATCTCCTTTAGGATGGACTGGTTGGATCTCCTTGCAGTC